TGATGCGGCCGCGATGGCGGTTGCCGACGGGAACTGGCGAGCGCGTGTTGAATGCCGCGCACGCATTGCCAGACGAGTCGAGAATGGCCCGGTACACCGCGGAAGCCAGAAGGCCCCAACTTGTATTGTTTTTTATAACGGGGGGGTTTGGATGGGCGGGCGCTGGGTGTGCGCCGCATCCCATTCCTGCCAAGCATTCTGCGACGTGGACGACAGGACGTCCATGCTGAGAGGAAAAACGTTGGTGCGCGGCGCCGAGGCGAGAGCGACATGTCACCCCTTCGCGCGGGGTGTGCGCCGCGTCCCATTCCTGCCACGCATTTTGCGACGTGACGACAACACGACCATGTTGACAAGAAAAACAAAAACTGTGTATTGTCTTTTGCAGATTAGAATGGGACGGATTGGATGGGCGGGCGCGGGGTGTGCGCCGCGTCCCATTCCTGCCATGCATTTGGCGACGTGGACGACAGGACGTCCATGCGACGGTGCCAATGACGGCGACGACTCTAGAAGGATTTGAGCATGCGCTCGCGGCGACGCGCGCGCATGTCGCCCGCGTGGTTTTTTTTGCACAGGATTCGCGGCCTGGGTGCATGACAGAGCATCGCGAGTGCACCGCGCGATGACGTGAAATCGCTGGATTTGACAGAATTCTTAAGATTCCTATGGTTTTCCTATGATTTCAGCAAGAGAGCCCGGGCAGGAAATTTGTAGAATTTTTGTGAAAAAAAACATTGGGTTTTTGATGTTTTTATGTTGAAATGCTTGCAAACACACGGTGTTCGGCAGGATTATGACATGAACGCGCGCGTGTGCTCTTTGTGGTAGTTTTTTGCAATGGATTCTCGCCGTGGACGACAGGACGTCCATGTCGAGAGGAAAAAATAAGAAACATGTTGATTTTGTATTGTTTTTTACAGGTTAGGATGGGACCACCCGGATGGGGCCTCTATCTGCCGGCCTGAGGGGGGAGTAGGAGTATATTCTAATAAGGAATAAGGATAGGAGTAGGAGTAGGAGTAGTAGTAGCAGTAGTAGTAGTAGTAGTAGCAGCAGCAGTAGTAGATGTAGACGTAGTAGTTGTAGTCGTAGCAGTCGTATAGGTAGTAGTTGTAGGAGTAATAATAGTAGTAGGAGTAGCAGTAGTAGTCTTCGTATTCCCCAAGCAGCGCTTGCATTGAGGGGGTCCAAGCGGAGATTGAAGGATTGTACGAAGTTCCTGGCTGATTTCGGTAGGCGGCCATGTTCGCGGGTTCCCAGCTCTGGGGTTTCCGATTCTGGGTTCCGGTCCGGTCCGAGTTCGGTGGGCGGCGGGGTTCCTGGGTTCGCTGGTTTTTCGTCGATCTTCTTATCGGTCGGTCTCACCATCGATTTTATTTCCCGCCTTTCTATCGATCACAGAATCGATTTCACTATCGATCTCACAAAGGATCTCATTATAGATCGCACAAGCGATCTCGCGATCGGTTTCATTATCGATCTCATTGATTCGACTCCCCTCTCAGTCTCACGAACGTCCCCACAATCGTCCTCACTATCGATTCCCCGATCGATCTCACGATCGATCTAAAATCGATTTCAATATCCTGATCATTAGTTTTTCCCCACATGCTTAGTGGGGTTCTGGTTTTCTTCCCTGCCGTGTCGCACCCGCGGCCCACCTCACCCACCTCATCCCACCCCACCCTTCTCACACAGCAGAGCACAGCTCAGCTCAGCACAGCTCAGCACAGCACAGCACAGCTCAGCACAGCACGGAGCTCAGAACAGCACGACACACAGCTCAGCTCAGCTCTTCTCAGCATAGCGCAGCGCAGCACAGCACAGCACAGCGTATCACAGGACAGCGCGGCACAAACACACAAGCAGCGCAACACAGCACAGCACAGCTCAGCACAGCACACAGCTCAGCACAGCACACAGCTCAGCACAGCACAGCACACCACAACACAAGCGCACACACACACACACACACACACACACACACACACACACACACACACACACACACACACACACACACACACACACACACACACACACACACACACACACACACACACACACACACACACACACACACACACACACACACACACACT